GCATATAATAGATGGTGGGTGGTGTTCTAATATTGATCAAAAAGGAAATATAAAATACATATCACCAATGTAGATGTGGTCACAGCTAGTGCTAAAGCTGATGTAGATGTAGTTTATATTGTAATTATAATTACATAATAAATAATTAATCATTTAAAAATTAATTATAAGAATAAAAATTGTTACAAGGAAAAAGAAAACAATATAAATATATTTTTCTATAGTAGTACCATGACGAACAAATATACTAATAATTAAATACTTCCTTAATGGAATCATAACATCTTGTAGCATCTGGCAAATAAAATTTTTCATAGACAAGCGGGAAAGGTATGCTAAAAAACATTTAAAAATAATTAAAAAACCATCAACAAATTAATTTGATTAACTTTTTAAAATCAATGTTACTTACTCCCAACCACAGACTCGTTGAATAGGTGCCTCAAGTCTTAAGAAACATCTTTCCATAATAGTGGCAATAACTTCAGCAGCAAAACCAGATGTTTGAGGTGCCTCGTGAGCAATTACTAATCTACCAGTTTTATTTACCGAGTTTTCAACAGTCTCACTATCCCAAGGCAAGATTGATCTCAGATCTATCAACTCGCATGATAGACCAGGAATCTCTTTCTCTATTCGTTCTATTGCATTCTCAAGAATATAAATTTGTGATCCATAACCAACCACTGTAACATCTTTTCCTTTTTTGAGAATTTCCGCTTTTCCTATTGGTAATTCATAATCTCCTACTGGTACTTGTTCAACTAATTATATATAATGTATTTATGAATAATAATAATAATAACAATAATAATGTTTATTGATTGATTGATAGTAAACTGACCAGCAGCACGATATAATATCTTTGGCTCGAAAAATAGTACAGGATTTCTATCTCTTATAGAAGACAATAAAAGTCCTTTAGCTTGTATGGGACTTCTAGGAATTACAATCTTTTAAATTAAATAAATATATGAATAAATATATTTAAAAACCATCTATAATATAAAAAATATGATTGTAATTACTTTTAAACCAGGTGTATGAGCAAAATAAGCTTCTGGACTTTGAGAATGATAATGACCACCGTGACCAACAGCCGAACAAGGCGTTCTAACTGTTAAACCACCAACATCGAATTGACTACCTGAACGATATCGATATTTAGCTGCTTCATTTACCAACTATATATATAAATGGGTTGTGTTAATGTTAAGGAATCAACAATGTGTATATGCAAATTAATTGAGTTTACTTGATCAAAAGCAGGAAATATATAATCAGCGAACTGGATTTCTGCAATAGCAGTATGACCCACTGACGCCATACCAATGGCAAAGCCGACAATTCCCTGTTCTGTTAAAGGCGTATTAAATACTCTATCTTTACCTATTTAAAAATAAAAGTGTATGTATGTATTTAAAATTTGTTATAAATTAATAAATTGATTAATAGTTAATTAATTAATTAATTAATTATACCAAACGTTTCTGCCAAGTTTAATGTACAACGAAAAACTCCACCGAATGATACATCTTCACCAAATACCACTTCAGATATTAAAAAAATAAATAAGATTATTTAATCATAAAGTATCACACGCACATGTATAAATAAACATATAATCCTTATATATATATATTTTTACCAGCAGTTTCATCAGTCGTTAATGCTATACTCAAAGCATCATTTATTGCTTGAAATAAATTCATTTTCTTTGTCTCGCCTTTTTTTTTAATATAATAAAAATTCAATTAATTAAATCAGACATTGATTTACAAAAAAAAAAAAAAAGGAAAATTACCATTAGAAACACCAGTATTTACTAATTCAGGATTTTTCAAAGCATCATCTTGAGTACTCTTAATAAATTTTGAATAAGAAACTTCACGCATAAATCCTTCAGCAGGAGGAGGTGAGTTTTGTGATTCAAAGGATATTTTAGTAGTATGAAAAAATTTCTAAAACAACCCATCAATAAAAATAATAATGAACATATTAATTCAAAATTTCATAAATTCGCCCACTAATTTGATACACCATTATTATTATTGACTGAATAAATAAATAAATATATATATGTATATGTATATATACATTTGAGTACATATAAATTAGTACCTTGTGATCTTGTTAATACCTTGTGATTGTTATGCCTTCCGAGCAATAATCTTCTATAATGTCTATGACAAGTAAATAGTAAAACACTATTACGAAAGTTTTGCATTTTATTTTGTAAATTAATTATAAATTGTAGCGAGTAAAAGAAGTAAATCAAAGAACACGTAGAAAATAGATTTTTTATTGAATTGTGTGTTGCACAAATTCCTATAATTACAATATTTTGTTGACAATTATTTCATCATTCTATGAATTTTCTTGGGGGTTTTATGATAGTACTGATAATAGTATTCAAAAAGATTGTCAATCATGTCCATATCATTTGTAAATAACAAATAAACCTTTTGCGAATTCATCTTTTTATTTTAACTCGTCGATATAGGCCTGATCTTGATTACTATATAGCTATCCATAGTAATAACAGGGCATGAGTTGCGATTGGTTATTGTTGGTTACTATGACGGGGATTGATAAAGTCACATTAATATATAATGATAATGCTGAATTTAATCTGCGATAATAGCACTTTTTAATTTATTGTATGTACAATTTTAAAAATAAAGATATATTTTACAATATAAGACTTTTTAAAAAATAAACATATCAAAATCGTAGAATTAACTGAATAGCAACGTTTAATATTTTGTCAGTTTCACTCTTTGCGATTAATTTTGAAATTTTTAGGTCTACGCCTTTTGACTTCGCATAATATTAATTCATAATGTGATAGAGTAAAGTTGTCAATGCAACAAACATGGATGGGAAATCATATTTGCGGCATCAATCAATAATATTTATAACAAAATGAATAGGGCCACATTTGCATTATACATATACGATATAATAATATCAGTTTTACCGTTTTTTATTTTCATAATTATTATCAAACTATGTAAAAAGTGATATGAACATGTAAAATAAAATAAAACTTCAAATCAAAATGAATATTAATAATGAGACGCATAACTAAGGATTGGCAAAAAAAACAATATATATGTTTCAAATGATACACATTCTGTTATTATTTCTATTCGAACCTTCGTAGTAATCACTTTTGCCAGATTATTAAACTAGCATTAATTATTTTAAGAGAAGTTTCCTAAGCAGGCATTCATTGCTGTTTACTATTATATCTTTCGTGAAAGTGTTACAAAATGAGGAAAAGAGGGAAAAATCCAGGACTATCTATATCATAATTTGCTTCCTGTGCAATTTTACGCTCTTAAACTTTCTATAAAACCTCTGAAACGCTTGGCCTTTTTGGAAGCCATATAATTCAAGGAAAAGCCAAATAACTAAGCAGAAGAGATTATTCAAGATTTAAGAAAAGAAAAGCCCAAGATTAACAAATAAAGCTGAAGCAAAATAAATTGAATTAAGCCAGATAACCCCGGAGAAAGAAAGGCTTGGCGTGAATTTATACTTTTGCATTTGTTACTCGGTTTTTCTTTTTTTTAGTTATGGAACAAGAAACAAAGTCTTAATTCGCTGGATGGTTTATGGATAGCATTTCATGCATTAGAGCAGATGATCGAAAAAAAAAGTCACCACTTAGAAAGTGGTGCGGCCTTTCCAATAACAATTTGTTCTTTAAAAGCAAGTCTTTAACGTTAAAAAGTCCTGGCTACCAGGATCTAATAATAATGTTAAGGAAAGAGAAAATCACGACGAGAGTTTTATTGACTGGTCATGTAGCTTCCAAATTATAGGACTAAACAACATAGGAATGTCATCTTTGTGCCATTATCAAGATAGATAATTTTAATACTATATCCAAAATTGAATGATTTTTTCACATTGATATTTCATTTAATCTGATAAATTAATGTGTATATATAATTATAATTTATAACTAAATTATTCCTTTTGCCCATTGAATAGAATAAAGCAAGTAATTAGTCGTTTAATAATTGTGGTTTGTATAATATTAAATAAATAGGCGTAAATAATAAATACAAGGTAGTTAGTTGCTCTATATATAATTATTTCTTACTATATATTAGATAAATGGGTGTGGATAATAGAAACAAGGTAGTTGTTCTATAATTAATGGACGTGGACAATAAACAATCTCAATAGTAGTACCAGACCTTGTTTCTATTGTCCACGTCTTGAATAAGATAATAATAAATAAAAGTTTGCTTCCGGTTAAAATTATTGGGCCAGCAAAATACATGTTTCACTAAATTTTTGTGTAATTTACTCGGGCCAATCAAAATTTTATCTTTTTGCGTGATTAAAAAATAGATTAAAAACCATTACCCAATTAATTCTGTAATTATTAAATACTGACTGATACGTATTATACAAATGTCCGATATGCCTAAACATTCACCAATCAGCTTTCGAGGTTTGCGTTAATATGTCAGTTTTGCTGTGTAACTAGTATAAATTTAGAAAATATCTTCCGAAAATTCAAAAATTTTATTGGAATGTAACGTTACGCTTCGCATTCCCCACACTGAATTTTTTAATACTGATGTTAGTTATTTTTTTTTTAGAGGAAAACGTCAGGTATGGAATGATTTTCATAATGTCAATTGTTTTACAAAGTGGGATCTACGCTACACGTGTACATAAGTGCAAAAACAAGGAGTGTTTTTCCTCCACTGCCTCAGGCTTCTAATTGAGGTCCCAGAAGCCTCCAGGGTAAAAAAACATACAAAAACGTAGACTTGAGAGCAAAAATTTTTTAGGTCCTTTTATAGCCAGGGTAAAATAAAGCACATAAAGGTTTTGATATATATACTAATATCCTGCTGCTAATTTTGTTGCAATGTTATGTAGTTGTTACACGATGATCGTGCAACATTTACTCAAAAATGTCCAAAGAAAAATTAAACACAAGGAATTTTTCCCAATTTTATTTTTAAAAATCAATGACAGAAGTTCCTGTGCTTTTTATTCAAATTGTTCGAGGTTTAAATGATAGAGTTTATGAAAAGCGGAAGACCGCAGCATTAGAAATTGAAAAGTAATGAACAATGAATTTGTTGCTTGGTTTCTTTCTTTTTTCCATATAAATGATTGATTAATTCATTTATTTATTTTATACAAAGGATATTTCTTTTGATTTTTTTATTAAATTTTTACAATTTTAATTTTTAGACTTGTTCGCGATTCAATTTCAAACAATGACACTGAACGTGTTAGAGCTATTGTTAGAAAACTTGTTCAAGATTTTACTTATTCTACGAATAATTATGCAAAGAGTGGTGGATTGATTGGTTTGGCTGCAACATCTATAGCATTAGGAATTGTACGTTTTTCATTTCTCCTTATATCCTACCAACAACTACAATCTATACATGTTTAATTCCTTTGTTAATTATTGTATTTATGTTATATATGCAATACATTATAGGATGTAGCTACATATCTAGACGAAATAGTTCCACCAGTTTTATCGTGTTTTGCTGATCAAGATTCACGTGTAAGATATTACGCATGTGAAAGTATGTATAATATTGCAAAAGTATCCAAAGGTGAAATTTTAATATATTTCAATGAAGTTTTTGATGCCATGAGCAAGGTAAATAAATCCATTAGGTTTTTTCTTTTTTTTTAAAGGAGAGAACATTTGATATACTTTATTTAGAGTGAGCGTGTTTGGGGGAGAGTTACCTGCTAAAATTGTTCATAATTATCTCATTTCATTGATTTAATTCAATTTATTTACTTTTGTATTTTATATAGTTGGCAGCTGATACAGATCCTTCTGTTAAAAATGGAGCAGAATTGTTAGATAGATTGATCAAAGATCTTGTTGCGGAACATGCGATAACATATGTTTCTTCTTTTGCTGTTCATCCTTTTACAACAGTCAACACTACTGATTCAACACCGGATATTACATCTATTCCTCAAACAACTGCATTCTCATTGCCAAAATTCATTCCATTACTTTCAGAACGCATACATGTAATGGATCCTTTCACGCGCAACTTTTTAGTTTCGTGGATAAAAGTGTTAGATTCGATTCCTGATTTGGAATTGGTTTCCTTTCTTCCTGATTTTTTGAATGGTCTACTGCAATTTTTAAGTGATCCAAATAAAGATATAAGGTATGCGACATCTAACATCCTAGCAAATTTTTTGGCTGAAATCTGTGATGCTGCTACAATTAATGAACAACAAAAAAAATATGCTATTAAAAAATATTATATTGAGCAACAAAAACAATTAACTGCTACTATTTCTGAAGTTACTACAACCAATGAGGCAGGCGATGATGGCTTAATTGGTGGTGGTGATTATGGTGACGGTGATGTTTCCCATAATGCTATTAGTAAATTATTATTAGTTGATGATAATGGTAATTTAAAATGGGATTTCGATGATGCAGAAGGTAGAGGAAAAGGATCTTGGGTCCCGGGCCAAGGTGTTGTCATTGATTACACTAGAATAGTACAAATTTTGATGCCACATTTATCTTCACACGGTAAATAGCATGAATTTTTTGTTTGCTGTTTGATTTATTGTTATTAAAAAAAATATATATTCAATTAGTTTTTTGAATATTATTATTATTCCTTTTTCAAAAAAAAAAAAAAAAACAGAGGAGGAGATACAAGCAACAGCTTTGAAATGGATCAATGCATTCATAAATTTAGCCAAAGAGGTCATAATATCATTTACTCCGCAACTTATAAGTGCAGTTTTACCATCATTGGCTCATTCATCTTCTAATATCCTTTAATCAAATATATTTATCGTTATTTTTTATTAATTATAATTAAATTCTTAACATTGAACTTTATTACGTATCAAGACTAGTGCTATTGAAGCAAATAAAAATCTTTATAAATTAATTTATGAAATCCCAACGAACAACAACAACAACAAACCATCCTCAAATTCTTCATCGAATCCTACTGCTACCAATACTACCAGTAGCAGTCCATCTATACTACCCAGAGGTCATAATAATAATAAAGATTTACAAGTAATAAAAAAACTATCCTTCATTCAAGAACATGATGATCCATTTGATTATCAAGCAACTGTTGATGCATTAGTACATCAATTTCTTGATGATCATGAAGAAACTAGAATTGCAAGCTTTGATTGGCTTTTAATGCTACATAAAAAAGCACCTAAAAAGGTGAAAAATCATTGCATTTAAAATTATATATATGTATAATATAATAATATAAATTTTTTCATTTTTATAAAAATTAGATACTTGCTGTTGATGATTATACATTCCCTGCATTATTGAAAACCTTATCAGATTCTTCTGAAGAGGTAATAAAAAAAAAATTCAGGTTAAAAAAATCTATCGTCTTTTTCTAATTTTTTTTTAATCGATTTTTTTTTAGGTTGTAAAACGTGACCTTCAACTCCTTGCTCAATTGTCATCCAGTTCTGAAGATGAATATTTTACACGATTTATGATTGATTTATTAAAATTATTCAGTACCGATCGTAAATTATTAGAAAACAGAGGTAGTTTAATTATTCGTCATTTGTGTTTAAGTCTTGACTCTGAAAGAATTTATAGAAGTTTTGCGGAAATTTTGGAAAAGGAAGAGGTACATACATTTTTTTATCCATTTTATTTAATACTTTTATTTTTTTAATTTTATTTAATTAAAAGGCAAATATCTTAGTTAATTAATCAATGTTCTCGTTAGGATATAGAATTCGCTTCTAGTATGGTCCAAAATCTTAATAGTATCCTTATAACTTCACCTGAGCTTTCTGATCTTCGGAAAAGACTTAAAAATTTAGAAACAAAAGATGGCCAACTATTATTCACTGCTTTATACAAATCGTGGTGTCATAATCCAGTTGCCACTTTTTCGCTGTGTTTATTGGCACAAGCTTATGAGCATGCAGCAAATCTTTTACAAAGCTTGTATGTGAATATGATATATATATCTCTATATTTATTATTGTAGATATATTTGTTTACCTAATTTATTTGTCACAATTTATATTACTATAGTGCAGATCTTGATATTACTGTTAATTTACTTATTCAAATTGACAAACTAGTTCAACTATTGGAATCACCTGTATTCACATGTAAGTAGAGTGTTCATTAAAATATCTTAATCATGGCTATTATTATTTTAATAATGCTAAGCAAAAACGATTTCATCCTATAATAAAGATTTAAGATTACAGCTTCTTGAACCTGAGAAATATCCATATCTTTTTAAATGCTTATATGGCTTGTTGATGCTTCTTCCACAGAGTGGAGCATTTGCCAGTTTAAAAAACCGACTTACAAGCGTTAGTTCAATGGGTTTTTTGCATTTGATACCAAAAAGGTATGTTTTATATAATTCTTAAATATTACAGATATATTATAAATTATTATCATATTCTTGAAATGATAATGATGACGATTTTTTTTAAACAAAAGTGCACCTACAAATGATACCAAACGTGCTACTACCACCAAGGGGTCATCGTCATCGTCAAAAGATGAAGGAATAAAATTTCAAGAATTATTAAATCATTTTAGAGCAGTGCAAAATAAACATGAGAAAACAAGACAAAGTAAATTCCTTTTGTGTTTTTATACCTAAATATTTATATAATAATAATAATCTTTTTTTTTAAAAAAACATATATATATATATATAATATATATATAGCTTATCAAACAATTGGTAGACTGAGTAGTCAATCAAGTCGATCCCGTAGATCTCGTGATAAATCAACTTATTATTCAACATCATCGTTGACAACAAATCCTTTAAAGAATACACCAAATTCTAATGGCAGGAATGTTAACGGAGGAAATATAATATCAAATAATACAAGTAATAATCGTGTTCATCATAATAATAATTCAATTGCCGAGACAACAACATCATCATCCACATCTAATAATAAAACTACCGGAACAGCATCGTCTCATCATAATCAACCAAGAAGACGACTTAGTTCTTCTAGTGCAAATAGTGATCACGGTCATTATGGCAATAACATAAATTCGTATTCACAAAGCCCTCCAACAAGTAATAGCGGTGGTAACAATAGACGTGGAAAAAAATAATTAATTTTTAATTAGTTTTTTTTTTATATTTATATTATCTTAATTTATAACTTATATTTAAAAATAATAAATTTTTTTGTAAATAAGAAAATAACATGGTTTTGCAGTAGTATGACCTTAAAAACTTTTATGTTTATATTTGTACTTTTTTAGATCATTATCTACCGCTACTGCAATTAGTATTCCAGAATTAAAAGATGCGAAATTCTAATTCCGAGCATACATTTTTCCTACTTTTATACGGTCTTTCACTGGAAGATTTCATGTATTTTCAAAAAAGCAATTATAATGAAGTTATACTTATCTTTTATGTATCTTTTACGTGCCTAATTTTCCATAAGGTGGGTTTCTTTGTAATTAGGAGTATTTTGGAAATAAAGACGGAGTAGTCAAATCAAGAAATTTAAGTTTTCAAAAGACGTTAAAAAGAATATCCAAATTTTTTAAGGTTCAATTTGTAATTGGTGAAGCTTACCATGTTTACATATATACATACATCAATATTTTTGTAAAGCTTGGAATGGTGTAGCAGATTAATATTCTTTTCCCAATTCTTCAATAATGATAACACTGCCAGAAAAGGATGTTCATACCCATGTGAAAAGATGAGAATAATCTTGCTGTGATTTGATCTTTATCATTTGCTTGTTTCAACATTTTCTAGATATTTATAATTATAAACTCAAAAACATATGTTGTGAAATGGATCTATTTCAGTGGAAATTTAACCGAAGAAAAAAAAATCCATCATTATCTAAATAGAAGATTAGAATGACAAAAATGATTATAGAAATTCAACAAATGCATTTGATATGGGTGTTAGTTAATACACCAGATCCAAGTATTATAATTTTCCCTTAAGCTCTAGTCAGCATGTTCAAGAAAGTGGAAGAGCTGGTAAAATGGTACACAGGCAAAGAAGTGCTATATTTTATTCAAGAAGTGAATTAAAATTTTTATATGGAATTATTTGAAAAAAAGAAAAGATATCGACGAAAGAAGAAACAATCGAGGGTTTGCCTCGAGTCATGTATTTTTTAACAAAGGTTGCTTTCTTATTATGCATGGTCCACTGATACAACTCCGATTTCTTTTTGTGGCAGATAATTGATTCGTTTCCAAAACTATGTCAAAATTTAATCATATCATTTGGAGTTAAATACCTAAATATTGACACGAGTTATTCTATCCATTGAACATTCATCTCGTTTAATTTATAAAAGAAGTTTTTTTTCTTTTTGATAATAATAAAAAATCTTGTTATTTCAATCATATCCGATATCCGAAATTTCATATGACCTTTTTAAAAAATAAACACACAACTATCATGTTATCTATACTTACTTCATCAAGAAAACGCATGCAAATAAGAAGTGTGTATTGTTCAGGACTCACTTGTAATCCACAATAATAAAAAAATATACGCGGATTACGTCTGAATTGCGAATAATATAATATGCTTATTATAATCATAATTTTTTTATCGCCACTGAGCTATTTTGGTATAAATTTAAATTGGCTATTGGATTTTGTTAAAGGCGATTTAAGAAGTGACGTTTTTTTTACACGTCAATGCAATGAATTTTTTTGGTGAAAATGGAAGCTGAACAAAAATACCCAAATCCTATCTATCCGGTTCAAAAGATAGCGATTTTAGAGTTTTCCATTGCCTAATAAGCATTTTACAACAAGAAACAGGAAACCACACATACTAATAGAAAGCTTAAGTTTTGTTTGATATATTACTATAGTAGTTCGAAAAATGGAAGGCAATTCAGAAGTTAGATGAATAAAGTAAAATAGAAGATTTGGATATCAAATATCAATTAGAAGTTTCCTAAAACATTAGAATTGTCATTTTGAGATCATTGGTCAAGTCTTGAAGCAGTTTACCAATAGAAAAAAATCATTATGGAGAGCTCTAAAACCCAGAAAAGATTTGTTGTATAAGATATGTTCGAACAGTTGTTTTACTTTGCCACAATATGAGATATTTTATTGGGATAATTTTTGGATTCTATTAATTTTAGTGATGATTTAATTCGAAATATCATTAACAATAGGGAGAGTCGAGAAATAATAGATGAAGATTTTAATAATTTCAAATTACAAACATAATAAAAATGCCATTTTCAATTTACCGTTATTATCATGGTAATTATTTGGGAACATTGAGTTTTATTGTCTCAAATATCAAAAATCATTGATAGGGTCAACTTATTATTATTACAAAAAGGGTTGGTTAGTATTAGGTTTAATATGGTCAAGCTTATTAGTAGTCAACGATTTATTATGGAACCAAAAATTTTGTATAGCAAATTTTTTCATCAAAAAAAAAAAACACCATTACTCTTATATATAGTAAATATTTTTTTAAAAAAAAAATCATTAAAATATAAAAATCAATCGATCGGTGAAATTCAATTTCGTTATAGTAGACAGTTTCAAAATTTTTAACGTTAAGTATAAGATATTGGGCGCGCAGCGGCCAATATCATGACATCCCGGATGTCACTGAAATTGTCCATCGCGCGCCCAATATTATAAATTATGGGTCAAATTGTGCTCTTTTTTCTAATGTTATTGCAATGTAAACCTTAGGGTAATGATGTTTGACGAAATGTTACCAAAGTTGTAAAATTATTACGTCAAATTCGTTGCAAAGATGAAATAAATAAAATTGTTTTAAAAGCTCCCAAAAAAACTTATAATATATATTCCAAACTCTTTTTATTTGTGTATCACAATCTCTCCTTTGCTTCATCAATTGTTTCCAAGAAGCCAGGTTTCTCTTTTGCTGAGTACAAAATCAATTCCCACACACTCATTTACTACTAAACTCGAACATTTCTTCTTATAACGTGATACATGATCGGGGTAGATAAAATCATCGATTAAGAATTCGGTACTTTATGTTCCAGGGTCAACTAATTTTAGTTTACGCAAAGGCTTTTTATAATTATTATCAAATTACTGTGTAAGTAATTATGAAAGTTTTCACAATATCAATATTGATTGATTAAGTTACTTTTCAATAATAAACTCATCTTTATCCTTATTGTAGTGATCAACAAAGGATAACTTCTGGTCTTCGTTTGAAAAAGCATAGCTTCGGGTCCTCGCAGAGAAAAACAATAGATAATTAACATTCTAATAAAATAAAACTCTGATAGAATCATTATTTTTATTAATCATTAATTGACGATCCGTCTATGAATGAGTGAATTGTACATAGTGATCGGCGGGGAAAAATTGACACAAAAATGTCCAATTCGATAACTTTGCACGAAAATGTATAACCACATTATGCTGTTAATTCAACATTTTAGGTTGAGGTTTATTTCTTTTTGATAAGCAAATTTCTCTTTTTTGCTCAGCTGTAATAAAGTTTCAATTTTTAGATGACAATGGTTGTAACTTTTTTTTAATACATAACCATCCAAACAATGAGACTTGTATTTATTATACCTTTTAGAATTTCATAAAAATGTTTAAACTTACAATTTTAAATTGTAGAAATAATCATGTTTTATTATAATTTCTAAATCATGGAAACTATTACAATTTTTAAATTTTTAAATCATGAATGTTTTTTTTCATATCATACGATTTTTAACGCATTTTCATTGGTTATTTGTCACGTGACTTCATTGTAACGCGGTTAGTAATTATACTCTAAAAAATTTTTTTTTCTTGTAACAAGGTTTTGCTGTACATGAATAGACAAATAATTTTTTTTGGGAAAATCTCTTCATTTCGTTAAACAAGAGGCCTATTCTGTCAACTAATAAAACTAAAATCGAAAGGTAGGACAGAAAGTAAAGTTTGCGCTAACTATATAATAATAAAATTTTTGACACTAAGTCACATGCTCTTGAAATAATAGTCACTCGTGACCCGACTTATCAAAAGGGGTGAAAATTTTGGCCCAACTTAATTATGTTATTGAAGGAAATTATTAATAGCACAAGTTTTAGCAAATATCACACAGCACCATACATAGGATTCCGAAGTAATTATCAATATTAATATGGATATGTTTGTCTTATATTTTCGTTAGTGTTAGAGGAAATTAAAAGTTTCATCTTTCAATAATAGGGAAAAATTGATAGTCATGTTTTTTTAAATGAACAATTAAAAGGGTAAAAATGTTTACTCCAAATTTTCGTTACACGAATCATAAAAAAAATAAATATAAATATATATAAATGCAAAGCAAAGTTAAAGTATAAAGAAAGGTATGTATGGTCTTTTAATACATATTTTTTTTTAATTAAAAATATTATAAATTTTTTTTTGAAGTAACCGAGTTATTTATAATTTAATAATATAATGCCAATACATCAGATAATAATAACTAAGTATTTTTTCGAGAAAAGGTAATAATAATAATAATTAATAAATATTTATTATTATTATTATTGTTATTAAACTAATCCATCTAATTATAATAAATATGAAACTTTATGTTTGGTCTTAGTTACTTGTGAAATGTCACCAGAATTACAGGCGTTGTCTCAAGATCAAAAACCTAAAGTCCCTGCACTCCGTATAGTACCTCATATTGAAGGCTCTCGTTCCTTACATTTTAACATCATTGAAAGAGAAGTGCCTGAAGATGTTGTGATTAAAATAGGACGTTTTACTGATAAAGCTCATGTTCCAAACAGAGTAGCTTTTAAAAGTAAAGTTGTTTCAAGAGGCCATGCTGAAATTTGGTGTAGTGAAGGAAAGGTATAATAATAGTAATAACAACAATAACAACAACAACAATGACAACTATTTTTTATCTGATAATTAAATAATTAAATTTTTAATAATATAATTACCGGTTTATTTTTTTTTGTAAAGTTTCTCATAAAAGATACTAAATCTTCTTCAGGAACATTTCTTAATCATGTAAGATTGTCACCTCCAAATTCAGAAAGTAAAGCATTCTTGTTAAATGATGGAGATGTTGTACAACTTGGTGTTGACTACCAAGGCGGAACTGAAGGTAAAGAAATTTATTTTTATTTCGCCAACAATACGTTTTAATTATTTTGATTATTAATTAATTATATATATAGAAATTTATCGTTGTGTGAAGATGAGAATAGAATTAAATTATTCATGGAGAAGACCAATTAATCAGTTTAGGTTTTTATATAATCTTTATATATATATATATATAATTTTCATTAAATGATTAATGATTAATATAATTAATGT